TGTGTATATAATATATATGAAACATAAATGAATTGCATCATTAGATTTTGGTTCCATCCTCAAGATATCTATGCATGCTAACATTCCAAAATACAAAGACATCCAAAACTTAATGGAGTATTTACATGACATTCACAGGGTTAAGAGTAAGTGTAGGAGATCAAAATCTTAAACAACAATAAATAAGATAGGATCGTTGCAGAGATGTCATAATTACTTTTTATTGTAATTATATTCAATTATTATCATTATATTCAATTATATTCATTGAAACAGGATGGCATTGACATACTGAATGGTAATAGAACAAAAGAAAAACTAAAGGCCCTTAATTTATAGCTCTTGTCATTGTAAACTTGTGAAGAAACAAAATTTTTAACAATGAGGGAGAAATAATTAAATATCCACAAAAAGTAATTAGTCAGCACTTATCTCAAACAAAAATTTATTCCTATGATGAATAATATTTCAAAATTTTTAATCAAATGAACAAACCAAAAATAGGTTCTAGAAGATAATAAGTATGAGTATTTTAAAATTTATATTAATAGAAAAAATTAATGATAAAAGAAAAAGCTAAAAATATCAATTGTAAAAATAAAATTTTCTGGTCATGAAAAGACATTGTTAAAACAAAATGAAAAGCAAGATGTGGTGAAAGAAGTGTTATGCAAAAAGACTCCTATCCAGAGTATTTTGCTACTGTCAATAAGAAAACACAAAGCAATCCAACTGAAAAATAGACAAGAGCCCTGAACAGGCACTTCACAAAAGGAAATATATGATATTTAGACAAGTGAAAAAGATAAACACCACATATGATCACAAAAATGAAAAATAATGTCACATTTATCCATTACTAATCCAAAAGAAATTCAAGACTAAAAGAATTAACAATATCACATGTCAGTGAAAGTATTTTAGGGTTCTCTACTGACAATGAAGATAACACAGACTTTGCCTGGGTGGTGATACAACATCATCACCAAGCTCATATCCCTTTCTTTCTGGACACAGTGTCTCTGTATTTCCCAACCTCTTGCGTCATCTATGGTCACATGAGTAAGCTGTCACAATAAGAATTCAGGATGAAGGACATAAGCTACTTCCAAATCTTGCCCATATAATTACCCTGCATTAGCCCCCACTCTCTCTTTGACCTTTAACACCCAGACACTTATACCCAAAGTGACCTTAGATATGACATTAATGATGACAGTTTCTAAAAACACAGGCACACTCAGACCACTTTCTCACTTACAGATTTTATGTGAACTAGAAATAGACTTATATTGTATGAATCCTGAAAATTTCATTATTAATCCATTAGGGCATCTAGTTTTATTATTGTTAATACACACACACACACACACACAAGCTCAGGTTTCTCTTAAGGTTTTCATATAGGGAGCAATACTTCAACACTGATCTTGAAAGTGTCCTCCTTTGGTAAACAACTCATTACATAGTACAATTTAAATGTCCTTGTACATATCCTATAGCACACACACTTTAACTCCTTAAGAGGAAGGGCCAATAAAAGTGCCAAGTTCTCACCGGGTTTCAATAAAAGCTTTGTATTTGTTGGCTGGACGAGTGAAACAAGCTATGAAAAGCTCTGTGAGTTTACTTTCCTCAACTATAAAATGCTGTGGCACCAAAAACAGGATAGACAGGCAGTCTAAAGACATAGACTGATATGATTAATTGATTTGAACCCCAATATTGCTAGTTATTAACTTGGCCACTTGAGTCCACCAAAAGGCCCAGGGTGCAAAACTCGGAATTTAGAGCCACAGGGCCTATGCTCACATTTTGGCTCCATTCACAAGCATATTCACCTCTGAGTTTATAACAAGATGCCTCAGGGGTTCTGCCTTGCAAGTACTCTTCCCAGGATGTTCTGTCTGTATTTTATATTGATAAGTCTGTGCCATGTGTCCAAAAGAGAATCCCAAATAGCAAGAATAAAATTTGGGGATACCACATAATCTGGATCCAAAGGTGACACCACCAGATACTGGCTCTATGACATGGGCTTGATACTTTTTCCCCATTAGTAAAATGGGATAAAAATGCCAAATTACTTCATAGAGTTGCTGTGAGGATTCATGATTTAATGCTTCTAACATGTTTAACACAGTGCTATGCATATGCCTTATCCTCCATGACTTGCCTTCCACAACTCCCTTCCTTTGCTAGCCATTCTTTATCCTGCTTTCCTATGAAAACTGTAAGTTCTATTATCATTATTCTCTTTGCAAATTTTACCTGTAATAAGCTTTCCCTGAATTCTTAATTACTTTCTTTTGTGTCTTTGCACATGTTCTCTGTAAGCCTTCTGAGTTTTTACAATTTGGTCTTATCAGCCTCTATTTAGTCTCTCAAACTTATGAGCCATATTTTTTGCTCATGCTGTGACAATACTGGTTCATATTTATCCCCATAGATCCATCTGTTAGATTGAGTTTCCAACAATAACATTGGCATGTAAGTGGCATTATCATCAAACGTGTCATAAACTCCATTCTGAAAGCATTAATGCATGTCATCTGCAGATTTGAAAGGCCATTTACCCTGTCCCACTTCTGAAATACTGACTTTACAAATATGTTCTGCCCCATGAATACTGATATCTCTATGTCAGCTTAGAACAGACTTGGGACATATATAGATTTGTATGGTGGATTTGTCTTTACCAAAGGCTACTGATTTAAATACTAGTCACATCTTTTCAAAATGTCTTTACAAAAACATCTAGATTGGTTTTTACTGACAACTAGGTAGCCTGCCCGGCCAAGCTCACATACAAAGCTAAATATCAAATCAGGAAATGACAGCATAGTACTTAAGATTTTCTGTGTATTTTGAAGAGTTTTGAGAATCATAATTCCCTGATGGTTTATAGGAGGCTGAACACTTTACCTTCAATAGATTCTCCTAATTCATTGTCCTCTACTTTTTTCCCTTAAATTATTTTATTGGTACATTTTAGGTATACAATACATTTGCATTTATCTTTGGGTACTTGTACCTTTATATGACGTATCTTGGTTCTCATTTTTTCCCCATTCCCTGTCTTCCCTTCCCTATTTACAAAGACTTTGTTTCCATTTTTTCCTTTTCTCATAATTTTTCTTTTCCCTTTTCCTTTCCCCTATCCCTCCCACTTCCCCTACCCCTTTGGACCTTTTCTTCCTATTTCACATTATCAATTATTCATTTTAATCGCTAAAGCTTGGAAACAACCCAAGTGCCCATCAACTAGAGACTAGGTAAAGAAGATGTGGGTTTTTTTTTATAAAATGGAGTACTTCTCAGCCACAAAGAATGACAAACTAGAGACATTTATAGCTAAATGGATGCATATTGAGGCCATACTCTTAAGTGAAATAAATAGGACACACATGTGTAAATGTCCTCTGGTTTTTCTGAGGTCTAACTTATTGTGAGTATTGAAGAAAATCCTGAAAGGTAGGACTGTGCCTACCTTTGATGGGTGTCAAAGAGACCTGATATATTTTCCCAATGCGGACACAATCTAGAGACTTTGGAGTTAATCATTGGCTAATGTCAGCTAGAATGTCTTCATGATGGTAATTATTCAACTAAGTAAGAGAAAACAAAGGATGAAACATTAAAACATAAATAATGTTCTGAAGGAGGGTCACCATGACCAGGGCAAGGTGGAACAAAAGCATTGTTGCTGAGTTCAGAGGAGAGAAAGAGTAGAAAGCATATGATTACAATAAGTGCTGAAGCACTAAGTGAAGAATGACATAGTATCACACTCAAAGGAAAGAGAATGGAGGTACAGGAGTAGAACACACAGACAAAGGAATTTTAAAAGATACATCCAGGACTGAAATCAGATGCCCAAATGGTAATTCTGAAATCTGCCTCTGCTGATTTACACAGGCAACTCCCAGAATAATAATTTTCTCTCATGAACAATACCAATTTTTTGGACTCTTGTCATGAAAAGAGTAGAAACAAATCCCACAATTCACAAGTCATAGATTAAAGAATAATTTGACTTAGCAATGAGAAATAGAACAATGCCATTGCTGGCAAAACTGAGTCTCCCCATCATTCCATGGAGAGAAATTCTTGAACCAGGACATCACCTAGACATGGTTTGTCCTCTGTTCTAGTGAATGAATTTACTCCCATTATGTCCTTCCATGTGCTTTTTCCCACGAGACAAGTGTGAAGAGTCACCTTGTCATTATGGAAAGAAACAGTCTCTGGTGTCAAAAGTCTGATTTGGAAATGTCAGCTCTCTAGAGAAACTATCTAGAATTAAAATTATTAGCCCCCTGCATTAGGGACTTTGGAGTACCTAGGATCTTGGGCATCTGTAGGATTTATTACTGCATCTGACATTCAGAAGGACTTAGCAATCACAAATACCTTCATGTTGCATCCCAACCATGACACTCGCCTTTACTCTGCTCTGGTCCCAACTCTTTATCACCCAGAGAAAAGCTTCCCCATTTCTCTCACTCTGTAATTGATCCTGGGTTCTAAGGAAACATTGCTCACACCATGACTCCAAAGCCTCTTTTTAGTGACATGTTCTCTAGAACTTACTATAAGGTAACCAAGTGAATGTGCTGCAGCACTGTAGCTTGGAATCTACCGCAATTACAGACTCACTTTTTGCAAAGATAGTGGCTGAAGCTAAGTCTGGTCACAGAACTGATAGGTATACAACAAGACAAAAGGAAACACATCTGTAAGCCAGGGAAGAATCATTTTGAGAAGCTCTGATACTGAGAAAATAATGAAGGACATCTCTCCCAGATTCTAACAAGCTGGTTGAATGTTGACTTTTTTTTTCCATAGAAAAATAAACTTCAGGTCAACAAGGAAAGACCATGAGTAGTGAAAGCAATTAGGTGATTCACCTTATGCACTTACCACACAGCTCTTCCTCATCCTGATCTGCATATAAGAACTGTGTTGGCTGGGACACTACTGTCCCTAGACATCACCACTGAATCCTCCACTATGCTTGCTCTGCAGCTCCTGTTCAGGGCCAGCCCTGCAGCCCTGCTTCTGGTTCTCTGCCTGCAGCTGGGGATCAGCTCAACTCAGGAAGACACGTGAGCCAAGCCCTTCTCCTCCCTATAGAAAACCCATGGGGAGGGCTCCTCTCCTAACCTAGAAATTGATATGTGCCTTCTTGGAGATTTTTAAGCTTGTCAGAATTCTAGTCTCAGGAGCTCATGGGCATCATAGCAGGTTCCATTTCTCTCCTCTTAGGAAGCTCCATCAATGCCCTAACATTTCCTCTGCTTACCTGTGTAATAAGGCTCACCTTGTTCACAGAATTGTAACTAATATGTAGTCTTACTCCAAAACAGGTGTGGTGACTGATGTCTGTATTCCCAGCACTCAGGGGGCTAAATTAGGAAGATCACTGTGAGTTCAAGGTCAGCACATGCTACAGAGAGTTCAAGGCCAGCTTGAACTACATAGTGAGAACCTGTCTCAAAGAACAAAAGTTCATCTTAATCTTGTTCATTGAACTACAGATCGTCCTCAACTGCCTTTGTTTCGTGCTCCATAAACTTTACATTCATTGCCGCTCCTTAACCTTTCCTTCTCACAGTCTGCCTCTCGTAAGAAAAGGTACAGAACTCTGGGAGTTTTAACAACTCTGTGCAGTTTTAGTGGGCTTCACTGAAGGATGAGATACGTTCATGTCACCACCCCATGATCTAAGGTTGAAGGAGCCTGTAGGAAGCTGAGATATGTTTTCAGCCCTGAATCCAAAGATGACTACTATAGAGGGCTGGTAACTCACACCCATCCTGGGAACTGGTGGGTCCTAGTTTGAAAGAAGCAGAAAAATTAGGGAAGTAAAATGAAATAAAAAATGAAAAGACGGGTCTATGGAGAAGCAGGGACACTCAGACAAACTGTAGTTTTTTCTCAAACACGAGGCCTTGAAAAGCTGTGGCCCATGATCCTGGGAGGTGCTCTGTGAGGTCATGGCCAGAAGTCCCATTGTGGACGAAATTGTTCAGGGTTCTGTCAAGCTGGTGTGATGAAGACAAACAACCACAGAAATCCTGTGCAGAGACAGGTTCAGATCCATATGTTAGTGAATAACGAAGGATATTGTACTTGATACTATTTTTTTTCTTTTTCCTGATTTTTAAATATTTTGTCAATGGAGAAAATGAACATGGTTAGTTTTCAAAACTAAATCCACACAAAATATCCAAACCAACCAACACATAATAGTTCTTTTTTTATGTGGTGGTTGATTCTTTTTTTCCCATTAAGTTTATTGGTACATTTTAGGTATACAATAGTTACATTCATCATTAGGATCTTGTACCTTTACATGATGTATCTTGGTTCTTATTTTTTTCCCCTTCCCCTGCCCTCCCTTCACCCCTTCTATGCTTCCCTATTTGCAAAGACTTTGTTTCCATTTTTTTCCTTTTCTCATATATTTTCTTTTCCCTTCTTTCCTATCCTCTACCCTCCCACTTCCCTTCTCCTTTAGACTTTTTCTTCCTATTTCACAATATCAATTATTTTGATCCTTATTTACACTTTTAGTTTTTCACACCAGAGAAACTATTCAGTATTTACACGTGTGTCCTATTTATTTCACTTAAGAGTATGACCTCAATTTACATCCACTTAGCTATAAATGTGTCTAATTTCTCATTCTTTATGTCTAAGTAGTACTCCATTTTAAAAAACCCACATCTTCTTTATCCAGTCTCCATTTTATGGGCAATTGGACTGTTTCCAAGTTTTAGCTATTACAAACTGTGCCGCTATATACATGGGTGCATATATATCACTGTGGTATGATTCTTTTAATTCTCTGGGGAAGATAACCAGCAGAGGAATAGCTGGGTCAAATGGGACTTCTAATCCTAGTTTTTTGAGGTCTCTCCATATTGATTTCCACAGTGGTTGCATCAGTCTCCACTCCCACCAAAATGGAGAAGGGCTCCTTTCTCCCCACACCCCCGCCAGCATTTGTTATTGGTTGATTTCTTGATAGCAGCCGTTCTTTCTGGGGTGAGGTGGAATCTCAGTGTTGTTTTCATTTGCATCTCTTGATAACCAGTGATGTTGAACACTTTTTCATATGTTTATTTGTTGTTTTTACTTCTTTGTCTGAGAAGTGTCTGTTCATTTCAGATGCCCATTTTTGGATTGGGTCTTTAAATCTGGGAGGTCTGATTTTTTTTAAGTTCTTTATATATTCTAGATAGTAAACATTTGCCTGAGGGACAGCTGGTGAAAATTTTTTCCCACATTATGGGTTGTCTCTTCACACCGTTGGTGGTTTCTCTTGCTGTGCAGAGCTTTTTAATAGGAAGAGATCCCATTTGTTGATTGTTTGTGCATGTTCATGGGCACCTGAGGTTTTGTTCATAAAATCTTTGCCTACATCAATGTCTTCAAGAGTTCTACCTAACCTCTGTTCCAGCCACTTCTGTTCAGTGTTTCTCTTTTAATATTTAGATCTTTAATCCATTTAAATTTTAGTTTAGTGCATGGTGAGAGATATAGTTCTAGTTTTAATCTTTGGCAAGTTGAAATCCAGTTTTTCCAACACCATTTATTAAAGAGGCTATCTTTCCTCCAGTGAGGATGGTTGGCTCCTTTGTCAAAGATGAGGTAGCTGAGTGTGTCTGGAGTTGTTTCTGCATCTTCTAATCTATTCCGCTGAACCTCAAGTTTGTTTTCTTGCCAGTACCATGCTGTTTTTATCACAGTGGCTTTGTAGTATAGTTTCAAGTTGGGGATTGTGATACCTCCGCCATTTCTCTAGACTATAATTGTTTTTGCTATTCTAGGTCTCTTCTGGTTCCAAATGAATTTTTTGATTGTTTTCTCTAGTTCTGTGAAATATAAGGTTGGGATTTGAATTGGGATTGCGTTGAATCTGTGTAGCAGTTTTGTAAATATGGCTATTTTCACTATATTGGTTCTTCCTACCCAGGAACAGGGGATGCCTTTCCATTTTCTTATATCCTCTTTGATCTCTTTTTCAAGAGTGCTGAAGTTTTCAATGTAGAAGTCTTTTGCTTACTTCATTAGATTGATTCCTAGGTATTTCATTTTTTTGAATGCTTTTGTGAAAGGAATTATTTCCCTAATTTCTCTCTCAGTGAGTCTGTTATTTGTGTATAAGAAGGCTATTGATTTTTGAACACATAATAGTTCTTGGGGAATCTGACGCTGAGCAGTTGATCTGACCTTCATTACCCACTCCCTGGCACTGTCCCTTTCCCCCCTGTCTCCTCATTAGTGGCCACTATTTCCCAAGGACTGATCTCTGATCTCTGTTCCCTACTTTGCTCTCCAAGAATCAGTCGGAAGACACTGATAGTCAATATGGAGATGCCGAAGAAAGCAAGAGCAGGTGAAGAGGTCACCTTGAAACTTAAAGTTCAGACAGAATTGAGAGAATGCGTGGTGGTAAGTAGAGTTCCAGGGCAGTGACCTCAAGACAAACCTGACTCCTTCATTATGAATGCAAAATAATCAAACTCCCAATTTAATATTGTATGGCATACTTAATAATACATACTTAATAATAATACTTATGCTACCTGAGCCTCAGAACAATTGTGAGAGGTTGAGAAAGATAACTACTTTTATCTTACAAATGAAGCAACTCTGATCCAGCTTGGTCTAGGAAGAATGAGAAAGGGAGAAACAAGGAATAGGAGTTAAGAATGAAAGAGAAAATTTGTAATTGTACATGATATATTGGGAAGGGGAATGGGAAAAAACAAGAACTAAGATGTATCATGTACAGGTACAAATTCTCATTGATGAATGTGATCATAATGTTACCTAAAATATACCAATAAAGTTAATAAAAAAGAAATAAAAGAGAAATGAGAAAAGATCCTAGAGCTAGCAGTTTCTTCCATGTTCTGAGTATTTGTGTTTCAGGTAGGGTTTCGGCAGCATGTGCTCAAAAAAACACACTGCAATCCCATGCAGTAGGTTGCAGTAGCTGAGGAGGTGAGGACTTGCAGGCTCTGTTACCTCCTCTCTGTAAGCTCTGAAATGAGTCTGCTTTCCTCTCACCCTTCCTCTGCTCTTTTTTTCTAATTCATCAGTAGCTGACTCTTGTCCAGGCTCAGCAGTTGTCAGGGGACAGTCCATTCTCTGAACCACAGCACAGGTTGTCTACTCATGGTCCACCTAAAACTCACCTGAGGGTCTTATCAAAACACAGAATCTTACTCATTCAGAGATGTAGGGAGGAGCCAGAGTGTCTAAATTTCTGACAGACTCAGGGAGAGCAGAAGCTCTGTTCCAGAGACCATACTTAGAGCAGGTGGGGATACAGCATTACATTAATCATTTCCCTAAAACATGACTGTTCTAACTCAAGTGAGATTTAAGGACAATGATCAAGCAAAAAATAAAATTGAAAGCATGAAGAAACCTTTCTGCTAAAATACATTCTAAATATGCCCACATGGCTATAAGAACAAGATTCTTGATCATTGACTAAAGAATATTCCAGCTGCTTTGTCAAATTTTTCTGTTTTCAGTCCAACAATCTGATCCATATATGATGATGTAAGGTGGAAGGGAGTCTAATTAATAGTTTTTCCATTTTATATTTCATTTACTGTAACCACAGATTACAATGAGGAAATTGTGTACATGTTGCATAGGTTAAATATTTGTTATATTTGTTTATGATTACAGTTAATAATGACTTCCATTTCCAACCCTGAAAAAGTGAAAGCTTTGTAAAATGTGTGTAAATCTACAAAATGACATGTGATATTGTGATTAATAAAATTATACCTTTAAGAATCATCCTGATACAATACAAAGGAGTGATTAAACCTAAGTGCAAGTAAAAAGACAAACTCTTCAGTCTGAGTCAGTCAGTTCGCAAACAAGAAAGAATTCATCCACAAGGAAATTTTGTCAACTTTACAGAACAAACATTCACTTTTATCTTCAATAAGAAATGAATACATGCTTTTAAACATATTTATATTTTGAAAATTTTAGGAAAATAGAATTTTTTTATAAATTTGAAATTTCTCCCACCTCATTTTCAATCAAGTAATGTTTCACAACTGAATTTTTAATAAAGTGAAGTCTTAGGCTAATAGTCATTTTAGAATTAAACCAGAATAGATTACACCTATAATTATGTGTTTGAATATAAAGATTGTATAATACTTTAAAGTTAAAGAAAACTTGATGCTAGCCACACTTACCAGAAAAATGATTTTAAATGCATAAAGTACATGAAATTATTTATGAAAACTGTCACATTAAAAACAATGGTAATTAAAATAAAGTTGTGAAATAATATGTATGTTTATTGATGCATAACCTGGAAAAATAATACCTTTAAACTATAAACAAGGTAAGTTTTATCTCATGAAGACACAATCTGTGATGGCTGCCGTGGCCTAGCTTGAGGAAAGAGGTACTGTGACACACCTAGAACCTCACAGGCTGGACATCCAAAGGATTCTGAATGCCTTATTTCAATCATACAAATGTTGAAAATTCTCATTCATAGTGATATCTTGCTGCAAATCTAATAAAAAAGCAAACAATACAAGAATAGAGTGTTCTGAACACTAGGGTTCTCCAGGGTGTTCTGAATAACATTGAATGGTGAGAATACTAGGAGTTCCTGTGGGAGTGAGGGTACTCAGTGCAGAATTGCCAGGTAACAACTGAGCAACCTTCTGAGATGGGCAGGTGGAGGTGGCCTCAGCCATACAAATACAGTCACTCTGATAACTCCCTCATTTTCAGGGCAGTGATAAGTGCAGGCAAAATTTGAGATATTGTCATCTATCAAGTGCAGTAAACCATTTTCTTTTTCCTTGTGATAAAATCACATATAGTGCTGATGCTATGGTGTTGCATTAATGCCTTCCATCACTAAATGATTGTGAAATGTCAGCTATGGGTTAGTAAAATGAAGATGCAATTTCTTTCCATCTGTATTCACAAAGTTAATAAATGTCTCCATGGGTCCCTCTGGGTTCATAGACGTCAGGATAAATCCCTATAGTAACACTAACTAGACACTGAAGTTGATACATACAATAATCTGAACTCTTAAATTGCCAGACACTCTCAAGTTGGAAAAGGAAAGGAAAAAAGGAAGGAAGGGAGAAAGGGAGTTAGGAGGGAGGGAAGGAGGGAGAGGGAAGGGAAGGGAAGGGAAAGGAAGGGAAGGAAGAAAGAAAAAAAGAAAGGAAGATTTCCATTTCTAACAGCCAGTCTTGAGAGGTAGCAGCTTTCATCTCAAAGTGGAAGAAAGTAGCATAGTTAGTGAGAGGACTAACTTCAATCATCAAGGGTCATAAAGTTAGAAGGGAGTATAGTGGTGCCTGGTCAACCTTACAAATTTGGCCTTGGCGCCTACACCCAAATAGCCAGACTACCATCTCCAGATAACAGTGTAAAAGATCACACAGGCCAATCACCTAGAATCTCTCTGATAACTAAGACCAGCCTTCCCAATGGACTGCCATTCCATGATGAAGCCGGTAGATTCATTCGAATATTCATGTCCCCTCTTGAGTTATGCCCACAATTCAGGCAGGAGTTAAAGGTTAAGAGGGAAAAGAATCTGACATCAACAAGCCCTTGGAATGATTCTACCAAAGACCGCTCCTCCATAGCTCTGGCCCACCTCAAGCTTCTTCATCTCTTGTGTTTCTTCCCCTTCCTGTACACCAAACTCATACTGTTTCTTCTCTTCCCACCAGATTAAAGCTTACCTCAAGAGCAACAAGTCAGTTGATGGTCCCTTCACCTACAAATACACCACCTGCCTCTGCGAAGATTACCCAAGAACCTTCTACTGGGACATCCAGACCAACAGTGAGTGCAGGCATTGTCCAAGGGAAGGGCTGTCCACCATGGAGGGAAAAGCAGAAACAGAACTTCCTGGTGGAAGAGCAGAGATGGGGAATGGGGGCAACCATTGGGACCCAATGGAATTATGGCCATGGTCCAAAAGGGAGGAACTACATAAGAAAAGTTAAAGACAGTTGATCACTTTTCAAATGATTTAGGAAAACTGAGACCCACTGGGCAGATCCTGATTCCAGAAGAAAATAGAAGACCTTGAGGTGTCTATGAGATGATCTTTCTGCTTCTCTCTTCCAGGCACCTTACAGGTTGCAGCAGTGGTTGACATTATTTGGGAAAAAAATATCTGCCCTAAAGATGATGCAGTGATACCTATCAAAGGAGTTCGGGTTGCTAAAATCAGTACCCTGTTCATAAAGTAATGGAAATCCTTGTGTATGTCAAAATGTCCATTTAGTTTCCTAAGTAAGTATGGCTAGGGAATCTGTTGCAAGCTCTAAAGAAAATTTCTAGCCAGCTCCATTTATTTTGTTGCACATCCCTTCAAAATCTGTCCTTAAAATCCTCCCAGAACACCAAATTTCTGTAATATTAGTCTTTCAAAGATCTTTTATGGAGGAGACTTTATAGGTCTCACTACACATTGGTGTAAAGGGACAGAGAAGAAATAGAGATAAGAAAATTCTCTCTCATAGAGAACAAAGATTTTGTTCACAAAACCAAGAGGAAATGACAGGCAGAAACAGGACAGGCAGCCAAGATGTTACTTGGACATCTCCACCGCATTCAGGAGATCTGCCCTCAGATGTGAAGACAAGAGAGCTGCACTGTGTGCCTCAAAGACAGGGACAGACCCTGTAGTCCTGACAAACCCTAAAGAAATTTTACATAAAAAGGAAATAAAAACCCAAATCAATGCAATGCAAAAGGAAAAATCACTATGGATACCACTGAAATCCTGAAGATTATTAATAACTACTTTGAAAACCTGTACTCCAAACAGTTGGAAAATCAACAAGAAATGGATAGATTCTTGGTACATATGAAAAACCACACTGAACCAAGAAGATACTAAAATCTGAATAATCCAATAAGAAATTGAAGAAAAGAAATTGAAGCAGTAATAACAATATATCAACTAAGAAAAGTCAGGACCCAATGGATTCATCACTAAATTCTACAAGAACTTCAGGGTTGATCTAAAGCCAGTTCTCCTCAAACTCTTTAATGCAACTGAAAGGGAAGTAGTACTCCACAAGTTATTTCTGAAAGATGTCATTGCCCTGATTCCAAAACCAGACAATAATCCAACCAAAAATGTAACATATAGGCCAATCTCTTTAATAAACATAGATGCAAAAAATCCTCAACAAGACACTGTCAAGAAGAATGCAACAAATTCTCAAAAGGATCATACATCTTGACCAAGTAGGCTTCATTCCAGGGATGCAAGGATGGTTCAACTTAGAAAATCAATGATTGTGACATACCATATAAACAGAAGCAATATAAAAACCTTATAATGTTCTTATAAATGCAGCAGAAGTCTTTGACAAAATCAATAAAATAAAATAATAAAACCCCAAAGATAGTAGGTATAGAAGGACCTTATCTCAATCTGATAAAAGCCATTTATGATGAACCTCCTGCCAATATAATATTAAACGGGAAAAATGAAAGCTTTTCTTCCAAAATCAGGAGTAAGTAATTGATATATTTGGGTTTTAGTTACTATTAAATTATATCATATATCTTTTTTTGCCTCTTCTATATTCCTTTTTCTAATATTTTGCCTTCTTTAGAATTGATAAAACTTGATATTATTTAATTTGTCTTTCATTTTTGCTATTACACACTATATTACTTTTTGTGGTTTTGACAGAAATCTTAACATATGGGTATAACATGGGACAGGCTAATATGAATCACCTCCTTTTACACATCACAAATTTGCTGGATACTTGGCATCACAGTTTTGGTCTCTCAACATTACACTTCTCATCACTTCTTCTTTCAGTATCTTGCTCTTTTATGAGACTCGTCAGATCTATGATCAACCTTCTCTTTGCAAATGTAGCATGTGATGAGCTTCCCCTGAATCCGTAGTTTCATCCATTTATTTTCTGTAAGCCTCGTGAGTTGTTTACAATTTGGTATTATCAGCCTCCGTTTGGTCTCCTAAACTCACAAGACTTGTTCATTGCTTACAGTGTGATAACCTTGGTTCACATATTCCCCCAAAGAGACATCTGCTAGATTGAATTTCTCAATAATAACAATGCCAAATAAGTGTAATTATCACCAAACTTGTCCTAAATGCCATTCTGAAAGCATTGTTACTGACGTGTCATCTACAGATTTAAAAAGCCATGTAGATTCCATTCCACTTCCGAAATACTGACCTTTCAAATACCTTCAGCCTGGTGGGTAATGATATCTCCATATCAACTTAGGACACATAGGCTTTTGCACAGTGGATTTGCTTATGACCTGCTCTAAAGCCAAATCCATTTAAAATAAGCTGCTTTAACCAAAGGCTATTGATTAGAATGATAATCATACCTTTAAAAAGTACATTTATAAAAGATTCAGATTATGTTTACCCATAACTGGGTTCTATGCCTAGCCATGCTGACACAAAATTAATTACTAATCAGGTAATGCCTGCATAGTACTTAACATTTTTTCACATATTTTGTATGGTTCAGATACCCCAACTCCCAGCTGGTTTATAGCAGAATGAAAACTTTATAGTCAATAGATCCCCTTAACTCATTATCTTCTTTTTTTCTGACAATTACCTTGTTAGGGGTGTGGCAGATAAATACTGAAGGGCAGGTCTGAGCCTTCCAATAAGGTGAGCCCCGTCAAAGAGCTCTTCCTATATTTTCCCAATGTGGACACTATCTAGAATCTTTAGCCTTATTCCTTGGCTAATCTCACCTAGAATGTCCTTCTGATGGTAACTATACAAGTAAGTAACAGAATAACAAAACAATAAAATTAAAACATAAATGAATGTTTACGAATGAGGGTCATTGTGACCAGGGCAAGGTGGAACAAAGCAGTGTTCCTGGGTTAAGGGAACAAAAACAGAGCAGAAAGCATGTGATCACAGTAGCTGAAGTTCCACATGAAGAGTAACATGGTAGCCAACCAAAAAAAAATGAATGTAGAGGTACAGGAGTAGAATAAGCAGTCAAGAGAATTTTAAAATATACATTTAGAAGCTCAAAGCATACACCAAGACTCTAATTCTGAATACTGGCTATAGCAATATATTTAGACAACTCCTAGTACAATTTTCTGTCATGTCCAAGAGGATCTCTCTGGACTCCCATCATGCAAAGGATAGAAACAAATCCCACAATTCACAAATCATAGATGAAGGAATAATTTGTATCACCAAAGAAAAACAGCACAATGCCAGTGTTGGCAAGAGTGAGTCTCCCCACCATTCCATGGAAGGAAATATTTGGGTCAGGAATTTCCTAGGTATGGCTTGAGTTCTAGTGGATGAAATCCATCCAATGGTATCCTATGTGCTTTTATGATAGGAAAATTGTGAGATGTAACCATATGGTATGTTCAATATAGAAAGGAATAGAATCATTGGTGTCTAAAAGCCTACCCTGGAAATTCCAGCCATGTGGATAAACTATCTACAATTAAAATATTAATCTTTTTACTATTAAAAAATATATTAGTCCCCTGAACTTGGGACATAGGATCATATGTAATCTTAGGAATCTGTAGGAAGTTCAAAAGGACTCAGCAAACACAAACACTTTCACATTTCCATCCAACCCTCACTCTTATTCTGCTGCAGCCCCACTTCCTGAGGTCTCTTACTATGTGATGGCGGTGGCTTCTATGGAGGCTTTGATCAACTTATGACTGTAACACCTCTTTTTAGTGACATCTTTTTTGAATTTACTCTAAGGTGATGAAGCAAATGTGCTCTAGCACTGTAACTTGAAATCTTCTGCCATTGCTGGCTCACTGCCTAGATAAGGGTGCACATAGCATGTTTTATTCGTATACAATGAGGGGAGAAATATCACACCTGCAAGACAGGGAAGAGTCATTTGAGAAGCTGTAATACTGAGAAAATAATGAAGGGGATTTCTTCCAGATTGTAACAATATAGTTAAATGTTGATTATCTTTTCCATGGAAAAACAAACTTCTTAACAAAATAAGATCATGAGTAGGGGGAGTGATTGGGTGATTCTCCTCATAGACCTACTACACAGCTCTTTCTCTTCCTTCATCTGCGTATAAGAACTGTGTTGGCTGGGGCACTACTGTCCCCGGACATCACCTTCTGAGTCCTCCACTATGCACACTCTCCAGCTCTTGTTCTCGGCTAGCCCTGCAGCTCTGCTTCTGGTTCTGGGCCTACAGCAGTGGAGCACAGGATGCCATGTGAGTCAAACCATTCTCCTCCCTAGAGAAAATCCATGGGAAGGACTCCTCTCCTAACCTAGAAATCTGGACATATCCTTCCCAGAACTCTAGTTACAGGAGCTCATGGACCTCAACATCGATTCTACTTCTCCTAGAAAGCCCCATCAACCCCTCACATTTCCTCCGGTTACTATGGAATAAGGTCTTCATCTACATAGGAATCATAATTAACAATTAGTCTCACTCCAAGCCAGATGTGATGGTGCAAATGTGTAATCTCAGCATTCCAGAGGCTGAGGCAAGAGGATCATGGTGAGTACAAGGCCAGCCTGTGCTACATAGCAAGACTTTGTCTCAAGAAAACCAAAAACAATTCAACTTACTCTTACTTTCTGCTCTACAGACTGTCCTCAACTTCCTCTGTCCAGATTTCTGCTCCACAAACTTTATATTCTCACAATTTGCCTCTCACAAAGACAATACAGACATCTGAGTATTCTAACAACAGCTCTGTGCAGATTTGGAAGAACTCACTGAAAACTGAGACACTCTCGTATCACCACACCATGGCCCAAGGTTGAGGTAGCCTGCAGGCAGCTTAGACAATTTTCCTGTCCTGAAGCCAAAGATGAATACTAGGGCTTCTTACAGATGCACAAATTAGGCCCTGCGAGCACAGGTTCACAAGCCAGTTAGTGAGGGTTTTAATGGAAGTAGAAAAATTGGGGCAATAACAAAGTGGAAAATCCAACCAGAGGCCTGGGGAGAATTAGGGTTACTCAGCATAACTCAGTTTTCTCTCCTACATCAGAACTTGGAGAGCTGTGTTTCTGAATCATGACCCTAGAGGTGTTCTGTGAGGCTGTGTCCAGATGTCCTGTCCTGGAGGAAGCTGTTCAGGGTTTTGTCAAGTTGGTGTGTAGGAGACAAACATCTTTAGAAACCCCATATGAGGATAGGTTCAGATCCAGATTTTAGCAACTAGCATAGGATACTGTACATTAGTCCTTTCATTTTTATTTTGTTTTTAAAATTTTTTGTCAATTATAAAAATGAACATTCTTCCTTTTAAACAAAACTGAATCCACACAAAACATCCAAACCAACCAACACATAATAGTGCTTGGGGAATCTCATGCTAAGCAGCTGATCGGACCCCTATTATTCTCTCCCTGCCACTGTCCCTTTCCCTCCTACCACTTTCTGGTGTCCACCTCTCCCATGGGCTAGTCTCCAATCCCTGTGGCCTATTTTGCTTCTTCCAGAACCAGTCAAAGGACAGTAATATTCGATATGGAAATGCCATAGACAGCAGGAGCAGCTGAACAGTCACCTTGACACTTACCGTTCAGACAGAATTGAGAGATGGTTTAGTGGTATAGTCCTGGGGGAGTTACCGAAAGTCAAATCTGACTCTTTAATTATGAATGCAATATAATCAAACTCTCACTTTAATATTGCACAGTATACTTAATAAAACATTCTCACATATGTTATGCTACCTAAGCCTAAGAACAATTGTGAGAGTTTCTGGAAAATGACCATATTTATGGCAAATCTGGCCCAGGAAAGTCTAAAAAGGATGAGAAAGAAAGAAAGAAGTAGTAGGAAGTGAGAAAGAGAGAGGAAAAAAGAATAGATTTAAGAGTTTTAGGAGAATAGATTTAGGAGATTTACGAGTTTTCCCAAGGGCCTGAGCATGATGGTTTACAATTGCCTTTGGACAGAGGGTGCTCAGAAGAACACATTGCTGCCCATAGAGTAGGCTTACTCAGGTGGGGAGAAGAAGACTGCAGGCTCTGGTGCCTCTGCTCCTGTAAACTCTGCAATGAATCTGCTTTCCTCTCACTCTTCCTCTGCTCTTTTGCTCTCACTCACCAGTAGCTGACTCTAGTCCAGACCTTGTCTGCCTCACAAGAGGATCCTATGCTTCTCCTTTTCCCAGCTCAGTATTTGTCAGAGTGAAGCCCCATCTCTGAACTCTACCAGATGCTTTCAAATCATGGTGCACCTAAAACTCACTTGGTGGTCTCATCAAATGACAAAATCTCATTCAGAGGACTTGCATGAAGCCCGAGCTTCTAGATTTGTAACAAACTCCTGGGGCATATGGAAGCTGTGTTCTAGACACCATACCTTGAGCAATGTGGAGTACAGCATTACATCATTCTGTTTCACTACAGCATGAGTTTTCTAATTCAAGTGAGGTTTAAGGACAATAATTAAACAGGAAACAAAACAAAATAGGGACCATGAAAAC